AATACACATTTTATATACGTGTGGTTTATTATCAACTATTAGTTAAGAAGAAGAAAGAAAAGAAACAGGTCCGTAATTCGCGATGAAAGTGCGGCTTGGTTGGCGCGTGTTTTTGAACGTTAAGCATAATATTGTGGCTGCGATAACGACAAAGTGTTACAATCTCGTCCAGTGTTAATCCTTCAATTGACACGTACGAAACGAACGAATCGCAAATCACCTTCCCTCTTACTCCAATACACCACAAACACAACATCTGTACAATTCTCGTTTCGACATCTATCCATCCATCCACGCCTTGTATATTTTAACCGGTGATCGAGATTACAACTTTGTAACGAGCGACAAACGCGTCAGAAGCAAAACTACACAAGAAAAAAAACTTGGACTTAATCTCGTTTCTGTTACATTGTAACTTCTTTGTCCCGGTGTTATTGTATTCTAACAGTCCTTGGCCAGATTTCCCATATGCGCTATACTTAATCACCTATTTTTAACCGAATAATCAAACAAATTGCTCAAACAAAATACCGTTTATAATTTACAAAAAAAATCTTTACTGTCAAACGTTTTATTTTAGCCTTTCGTGACTTGTTTAAATCAGGCAGAAGTCATGTAAGTTTGGAAAACTTTTATTCTAAAGCGCGTTTATTTAGTAAATTAATTAATTAAAACTTCTATTTCATTTATTCTGAGAAATAATTTGCTTTTGCAATCATCTTAATTTTTATATTTGATTCAATTTATAATTTTATAAATTTATAATTGTTACATCTGTCAACTGTCATTAGTTAATTGTCAATTGTTAACTGCTATTAAAGTAATATCATTGGTTACGTGTCAACTGTCATTGGTATGCTAGATCTTTAGAGTAAGATTACAGTAACTAGTTGAGTATCAGATAATATATCAAAGCTTGTTTCACTCCTATAATCCGCAAATATCATACATTTTTGGGTCTGTATTGCAAGCGCGACAACCGAAATACCGTCTATCGAAATACCGACGTTTGAAATCCCGACTATATAAAAATTTCGACAACCATAATCCCGACTGTATCAAAATCCGGACTATATCGAAAATTTCTACAATAACATTTCTAATTATTTCGGAGCGTAGTCACCTTGTGCTATATTTTTTTTTATTAATAACAATAATTTTAAAGTGATTACGCTCCGGAATAATTTAAAAATTTTGATATAGTCGGGATTATGGTTGTCGGGATTTTGATTAATGGTATTTCGGCTGTCGGGCTTGCGATTGCCACCTTATATTTTTATATCCAAACTTGTGTTATAAATTTCAAAAAAAAATATTAAGCATTTACTTATTTTATATCTTATTTATTGAAGTTCTACATATTATTTAATGAATGTTGAAGTTAATGTTACTATTATTATCTTTTTAATAATAATGATAGCCTTATTTTTGCACTATTTCGGTGCTTATCGACCTCCAAAATGCAATAGATTCTTCTTCGTATTGAATTATTATAAGTAAATTGTCATTACTGAACTGTCGTTCTGCTGTCGTTTGTCGATTATTATCATTATATAATATTGTTAATAGTTAGGTGTCAACTGTCATATGAACTGTCAATATTGTTATATAATTTGATACACTTTATATAAATACTTATTAACTGTGGTCATAGAAGTTACTACTAATACTATTACTTACAGACATTTCATTTAGATAAAGATGTGTTTTTATTGGTGTTTAAGTAGAAATGTGTTTTTCAAAATTCTAAAAATGAATATTAAATATGTCTGTTAAGCAGGGTTTATTATTGATGAAGAAGAGAAGAAGAAAAAAAAATGATTTTTGCGTGTTGTTTTCTCGTTTTTCCTGGGAATTTATTGTGCTCTTTATGGCGGTGCATTTATGATTGAGGTGATCGAACGTGATATCGGGGCGAAAAAAAAAAATGTGTTGGAAAGTTCGAAGGGACATTTTCTTCCACATCTGGAAATAATGACTGGCACGGTCGGTCACGAAGCGTCCGTCCGTCGGATACCGAATCCCTCACAGTTCTCGTTTGCTGAAAAAAAAAATAAGTCCGACGATAGTACTGAGGTGCTAAATAGCCACCCCCTCCGGAAGGGATGCACGAACTCCGATGACTGCAGCAATAACAATAAGCCATAAATGTTCTTTGTAAACTAACTACCGTGTTTACACTGGTCGTGGGAAAACGTACAGATTTTATGCAAGCATTTTTTTTGTGTTTCTTTGATGATTGATGGTTAACAACGGAAGTTTGTTATTAGCGAATAATTATTATTATTAGCATTAATTACAGTTGTTTCGCATTGTGATAATTTGATTGCAAATATACATAAATGCGAAACGAATCAACGTTTAACAATTTCACTATTTTTATTAATAGTATTTAAAAAAATCAACTTTAAATCACTTTATTTTGTAATTTTTACTTTTTACTTTTATTTTGAAATCAAATAATTTCAGATATTCATAAAAAAAAGAGAAAAAAATAAGAAATTTATTAAGAAAGCTAATAAACATTACAAAATGCATTTGAATGTATTTCATGATAAAATTTATAAGGTGTAAGTTTTTCTTATACTGTTTTTATTTATTTATACTGGTTTTATTTTATAATTGAATACAAATCTGAAAAAACATTGAGTTTTTGTTTCAAATTTATTTCAAAATTAGTTTGATGAAAATTGTTATGTATAATTGTTAACTGATTGATTTTTGTAACATCTGTCAACTGTCATTAGTGCAATTGCATTGGCAAACTGTCAATTAAGTAGTTAACTGTCATTAGTGAACTGTCATCGGTCTGAGACTAAGATTAGATGATACTTGTCAAATAACAAGTAAAGTAACACATAATACATACACAATACAAACTTGTTTTGCAATTGATTATATAAGTTTATTACTAAATATCATGCATTTTTCCAAACTTCAAGAACTGTCAATATGTTATTTTCTAACAAAAAAAAGTTGTTTCTACCATTGTTTATAATTTAAGTTGAAAATTTTTACAACAAAAAATACTAATTTTTATGGTTGAAAAGTGAAAAGACGATAATAATTCAATATTATTCCAATATCGAATTAATGCGGACATTTATGTTGGATTGTATAACAGTATTAATTACGTTACAATCATAATTACATTGCTTTGAAGTTTCTAATGAACACTTCGTGATGGCTCTAATCAGAAATGCGATTGATCGTGGATTTAATCGCTCCTAAACTTTATTATTCCTTTCAGCTCATTTCATTTACGATCAATACATTATTCACTTTATTATGAGGTTTCTTCTTGTATTCAGTAATAATAGACGCATTATGTTATTTGCGCATTAACGGTAATCTCTATTTATAAACTATGAAATTACGTGGTGAACGTAATTTCTGCTTAATTTATATCCGCAGTAATTACATTTCGCATTCATTTTGATTCTATTTAACTACAAATAATTAATTTTTTTTTAACATTTGCAGTTTAAAAATGTTTGGATTTTTTTTTCTAATTTCATATTTTTTATACTATCAAATCCATAAATACTCTTTCATTAAAAAATGGAAATAAAGCTCTAATTTAGTTCTTTGAATTAATGTAACATGGGTGAACGTTTGTGAGTGCTCACAGTGATTTATGGGTTTCAGGATTAGGAAACGTGTTTTCAATTTTTCTTGTTTTTCTTGCTTGAAAATGGGTGTAAATCATGCTGAAATCACATTGTTTGGAAAACTAAGGATTAATTTAATTAATGGCCAGATTTACCCTAAAACCTATCTCGTCTATTTTCTATAAAACAAACGTTTAGTTTTGTTTATCTTAATTTTTTGTTTGTTTTAGGATTGATTTGAATTATGTAAAAGTCAAATATTTTTCTTAAACTAATGATTAATGAAATTAATGTCTGGATATACTTAATTTTTTACATTAAGTTATTTTTATTTCTTGGATAAATATGAAATTACCGATTTTTGTATTTTCATTAATTTCTCTATAATTTGCTTGGAATTCTGCAAACTTATGAAATATCTCTCTTCAATGATATTTTCAACAAATGTTTTGAAAGGTTTAAAGAAATACTAACTATATTTATCTCATTAAAGCTGATGTAAGTCATGTATAAGTCGTAAAGTTTTAAACATAAAACCCATTTTTTGTTTACAATCAGTTAGAAATGTTTCTAAACATCTGATTTTGAAGAATTATTTATTAATTTTATAAAAAAAAATCTGTAATGAAAAAATAAGATTTTGAATTATTTGTAAAAGAATTTATTTATATATGTTCATATTATTATCATAAATATAAAGTTTATGTTAATGATATACTGAAGTTCGATTGTATTTTCTTTAATCTATAGTATAGTATTATATACATTTATGAATGAATTCATTGATAGTATTGGATTCCATTTTTTCGTTCCACAGAATGATCTGATTATTGCGTTGAGCCAACCATGAATTGTGGGGTGTCCATGGGCGTGTTTCACCTGTTTTCAAGTTTTGCACCTTGTAGCTCGACCAATAACGTTCATCCACCTGAGTTTTCATTGTGCGGGGTGAAAGAATCGAGTAGCAGGTACAGCCCCGATATTCACCTGAGGCCAGGGGTAGGTCTACTAGTTAAAAGACACGTTTGTGGATAAAGTTAGTCCAACGGTGAACGGACTACACTATCAGTCCGTCGCAGGTGGAAGGAAAGCAAGTGTAAACGTTCTTCGCCAATTTCTTCCACAGTCTTACTCCTCCTCTTCGTAGTAGTCATCGTCGTCATCATCATCGTTGTCGTCATTGTCAGCGTACTCACACTAATTGATTATGAAATATGTAAAGAAAGAGTCGCCTGGTAGCAGCAGCAAGAAGCAAAGTGAGTGCGCAGATTGTGTGCCGGTGCATAAATTAATTAAAATCCGGAGGTCGCTCTTCGGGAGCGCACTTGAAACTGCGAAAAGGGGCGTCCGATTTGCATTTGATTAACTTGTCGTTCGTTTGTTTTGCAGAACCTTTGAGCGTTCAACAGCAGGTCGAGATGAAGGAAAAGAGCAAGAACGCGGCGAGGTCGAGGCGCGAGAAGGAGAACACCGAGTTCACGGAGCTGGCGAAACTTCTTCCACTTCCGGCCGCCATCACTTCTCAACTGGACAAGGCTTCAGTCATCAGGTTGACCACGTCTTATCTGAAGATGAGGCAGGTCTTCCCAGATGGTAATTAGATTACATGCAACCTCCATGGAACATAGTTTTTCTTAATTCCTATAGTTTTGTGTTCAGGTTTGGGAGATGCGTGGGGTGCTCCTCAGCAGAGCAACAATCCCAGGGAGTATCCGATCAAGGAGCTCGGATCGTACCTTCTGCAGACCTTAGATGGTTTCATCTTCGTCGTCGCACCAGACGGCAAGATCATGTATATCTCGGAGACAGCTTCCGTCCATCTAGGACTCTCTCAGGTAATGCTTACATCCATCTAGGTTCATTACAAAATACAACTAGAAGCATAACATTACTATTAATTCTTAACTATTTCAACCCCAAATTTTAGATTACATTTGTAAACTTTTACATTTTTCTTCATCATTAAAATTTGTAAAAAAAAAAGCTAATAAATTCCAATTGGAATAAAGAAATGAAGTAATAGAATTTTGATATAAAAAATTTTTTTTTTGCATCTTATATTTTCATAATTAAAACAAGAATTTCAATCACTTACTTTCTTATTCGAAATATCTATTTCTTCTTGCATAATAAATCGTTGCAAATATACTAATTCACTGTTAAAATTATGACTCTTTGTTCTAATTTGAATATTTTATTTGTGCGCAGGTCGAACTCACCGGAAATAGCATCTACGAATACATCCATCCAGCAGATCATGAAGAGATGAACGCAGTCCTGAGTCCGAGTAGTACCTCGGCTTCTGGACCGCACAAAGACTTCGAAGATTACCGAGCTTTCTTCATACGCATGAAATGCGTTCTAGCCAAGAGGAACGCAGGACTTACGAATGGTGGTTACAAGGTAAGAAACATTTAATAGACAACAAATTGGTATTTAAAGGAAAAAGTTAAATAGATCATTTATCAATTGTCGTAAATTCTTTTAGAAAGAAAGAAATTCAAATAAGCTCATAAAATTTGTATTCAGTATGTAATTATTTATAAACAATTATAAAAAAATGTTATAAAATAATCAATATTAAACAATTAGTATATTTTACAATTAGTAATAAGTACGTAATTATTTGCATTTTTCTAAATTTGATATTTAATTTAGAATCATCAACAATTAAAAAAATAATGCTATAAATAAATTTCAATATCAAACAAAAAAGTTTAAAAAAAATAAGTAATTAAAATTGTTTTAAAAACGTATTCATGAAATGTAATCAAGTAATTAAGTTTTTTTTTGCTACTAATGTAATTAGTAAAATGCTAAAACGTAAATATGTATAAATAATTCAATAAATTTTTTATTTAATTTGACTTCAATTTTGTATAGTTTTTTTTAAATCAAAGATAATGAAATCCGACTATTATTATTAAATAAAGAAATTAAAGTGAAGAAATGGAACTATTCGTTTAACTAACAAGACATTCAATTTGTTTTTGCCGAATCTACTAAAAATCTATTGCTATTTTAATCACGTTAAGGCAGGTTTTCGAACGTGACATTATCCGCAACATCAAATTTAACAACCCCGGCAAATGCGTTCATTTCACTTTCACGTTCAACTTTACTACCTTTTATGGTCTGCCTGACGTTTTTTTTATTGCGCTGATTGCATTAAGGCTAGTTTTCTATGGTAAGAATTAAATGCATTTCTCCTTTGAATTTTGAAAGAAAAAAAGAAGAAAAAAAAAACATTATGGAAATATTCTCTTTCATGACTTTGCTGTGTATTAATAAACATACACATGTTTATGCGTAATGAACAAGTTACATTCACGAAGTGGAAACATGCTCGGTTCTCTTGTTAAGTTTTGTTTTTTTTTTTGAAATGCAAAACTTTGCGTGACCGGGCAGAAGGAAAAGTTCCGTTCGAGAAAAACCGCAAGAGGAAAATTCATGAATTTTCATGTAGAGCTAGTTAGGACGATGCGAATTGATGATGTGTGTATGTGAATAAGACGGGGTGAGAGTTGTTGCGAGAGTGGCTCGCACTTTGCAGCACAAAGGAATAATAATTGGGCGAATTACATGCACGTGCATAGAGCACACATGCAAATCGTGTTGTTGGTGCAGTGGGAATCGTAGTCTAAAGCCAATCATCATCTTCACAGGTCATCCACTGCTCCGGATATTTGAAAGTCAAACAGACTTCTCCGTACGAGAATTTCTACCAGAACATGGGCCTCGTCGCCGTCGGACATTCGCTGCCTCCTAGCGCCATCACGGAAATCAAGCTGCACAGAAACATGTTCATGTTTCGAGCTAGTTTGGACATGAAGCTAATCTTTTTAGACGCTAGGTAAGTGCTTGATTTCCATTTAACGTTTCGATTATTTTGCTAAATGTACTTCTTTTTTAATTAATAGAGTTGCGCAATTGACGGGTCACGAGCCTCAAGATCTCATCGAGAAAACCCTTTACCAGTACGTTCCACCCGCAGACGCTCCAGTGTTAAGATTCGCTCATCAACAACGTGAGTTCTTAGAAGCAAAATGATGAGATTCGAGTTATCTAACTAATTGTGTTAGTGTTGTTCAAGGGACAGGTGACCACCAAGTATTATAGATTCTTCGCGAAAGGAGGAGGCTGGGTTTGGTTGCAGAGTTACGCGACGATAGTGCACAACTCGAGGAGTTCCAGGCCGCACTGCATAGTCTCAGTGAACTTTGTTCTAACGTAAGTTACAACTATTAATGTTAGTTAAATGGAATATTTTATTTGATTGAATTTGATTTCTTTAGGGAAGTCGAGTTTAAGCAACTGCTCCTGAATAGCACGCAGGGAGTGCCTAGGGAGGAGGAGAGTTCGCCCACCGAGGAGAAGCCGATTTCTCCTAAGGCGAATCCACCGAAGTATCAGAGAACCAACAACGTGCATCCGGCTATAATAACGCCTCCAGGCTCTTCCATTCCTGACGACGAGTTTAGTGATTCGAACGGTGGCGGAGCGCCGATGGCGTATCAACCTCAAGACTACCAGTTCATCAACTACTCGGACGACTACCATTATCAGCACCAGCATCAGCAGGAAATCTATTACCCATACTCTGACTCGGAGATGACCATGAATCCGATTGGGAACAGCCACCACCATCATCACCATCACCACAACCAGCAGCACCAGCAACATCAACAGCAGCATCAAAGGCCGTATAGCGCCAGCTCGAATAGCAGCAGCAGCCCCGAAAGTGAACAACTCCTAGGGAATCCCTACTGCGCGGAAGATCCTCTCCACCAGACACAAAATAACTTCGGATTCGGTGGTGGCGGCGGTGCTAACCCTCCTGCAGGTGGTCAAAACTTCTACAACGAATTCTCACAGATGCGTCAAATTCCAGCCGCGAGCTACACAAGCGTCATCGTCGAACCGCAGCAGTACTTGCCGAACGGTTACGTGCACTAGCATTAACCGAAATTAAGTCTGTAAATTATTGTACATAGAGACGGACGGGTGATAAAGCTCTTTGGGCTTCCGTTGATCGAGAACGAGTAATTCCACATGAAGAGGAAGCAAATAAAATAAACCCGAGTGACGGTGCCATATTTATTATACATATATATACATATACATATATATATTTTTATTATTATAATTCTTAATGTTAAGAAACTACATTATTTTCTCATGTTTTGAATTGTAGCTACGACAATAATTTGAGACTGTGAATAACATATTTTGTACATATTAACTTAGTTAGACCGTGGAGAGGAGGAGTGCAAGTTATTTATAATCTAGCATGTAAGTTGGACGTTTTCGAGATGAATGGGAAACGAAATTATGAATCCATCATCAGTAATGATGATAATGATATCACGACTCAAGGATGAGAGAAAGAGAGAAACAAATATGAAAAGTAAAAAGCAAAAAATATTAATAATAAGAAGAAACGAAGAGAGTTTTAATCAATAAAATAGTTGCTGTTATTTTTTAAACATACACATTTTACTTATTTATTTTGCATTCGAAGCTGTTACCATGGTAAGTAATTTTACTTCGTACTTTAAAATTACTTAAAAACCTCAGAACTGATTCTGCATAAATCAATTTGAGTCTTCTCATCTAATACAAAATTTAATTTTGATTAATGGTTTCATATTTATGTGAAACATTTGAAAAACAAACAAGTAAGCTTAGATCTTTTGACAGTCACAATAAATAATGAAAATTGGGTAATTATAGGAAATTTGTAACTAGTCAATCAAAATATGATAAACTTATTTGGGATAGGTTTTTCCTTTCTCAGGAGAATTGATTTTAAACATTATTAACCTTTTGACTAACGAAACTATAGGAAATCTATAACTAGATATGCGTAAATCAAAAATTTTCACGTTGGAACTTCACGTGAAATGTATTTTAATTGAACATAATGATGAATGATGAAAAATAAGGTTAGATTATGTTAGGTTATTGTATGGGCAACGGGTAAACAAAATATATACTCAGGAAACTAGTTATGTATCAAAATATGATAGGTATTTCTTTTCTAGAGAGAATTGATTAACTTTTTGACTAATGATTGAAATATATTTTTTATTTGCAATTTTGATACTTGTTACCTGATTATATTAAAATTATGATGTATAAAATTACCAAATACAAATAACAGATATAAATTGATTTCATCTGGTTAAATCCGTTCTCATTGAAATCTACTAACAATTGCTTGAAGTGTAAACTAAGCTAATCGCACGAAGTTATCACGCCGATACATAACTACGACTTTCTAATTATGTATTATTATACAGCAGATAACTCTCGTTCTAGACGTTTTCGTTGGGGTGGCGTCGGCTGCGCGGGTGCTGGCTGATAAAGCGGGGGTGTGAAGAGAGAGAGAGAGAGAGGGTGGACAAAGCGGCAGCAGCCCTTCGTCCTACGTATCCAAGGTAACGGCACACCCGCGCTTCAGTTTTACAACCCCGACCATCTGATATGTTTGTATAAAGATTTTATACCAATTACACTTTAGGTTTGCCAAAGCTTTTCATCTCGAGAGGACACTTTCGACGACAAAAGGCTACACATGTATTTAATTCACTCGCCCTCGCATCGCATCAACCCTCGCCCAAATAAAAAATTAGAGAAGCAAAAAAAAAGATAGGAATGAAGAGAGAAAAAACAACGCTGCTGCTGTTGTTTTTTCATCATTATCATCAACATCGCTATTCAGCGCCCTCGATATTAAGTGTATAAACCGGTACGAACCCATTCAATTTGCTTCCGGTTTTGGATAATGCGGACGATCCTGTTACCTCCTTTGTCATGCTAAAAGATTCAAATTTCACTTGAGCCCCGGTCGTCTCAACTAATCTCGGTTAATAGTTGCGCATTCGTGTGATTAGCTTGCACTTAAAACGTTGTAGCTCTCAGGTTTGATAGAATTATCATTAATAAATGACTTATCAAATTTAATTTACTTAACTACTTTTTACATAATACACTTCATCTCTAGAAGTGATAATAATTTTATAAATTTAATTAATTATTATCATGATAATAATATACAATTCACTCCACTATAATACTTTCATACTTATATATTAACTAATATAATGGAATTTTGAAAACAATTTTCGCTACATCGAAATCAATGATCTTTCAATTATAAATGTAATCTAACGTTTTCTTCCCAATACAATTAGATTAATTTACTTGTGCTCAAATTACAATTATACAAAGAAGGTAAAATTAATTAGAAAAGTGAAAAATGGTAAGTATATTATTAAAGAATAAATTCGTTAATGTTCAATGATTCTTTGCCACCAAACTATATAAACATTTACTCTCTTAAGTTTATTTAAAAGAAAATTACTATTATTTCTATGAAATTACTTTTGAAAGAGACAACATGTTGAAAATGACTTTCGTTAACTTAAATTTTAAGAAAATTATCAAATAAGTTTATTGATTTGATTCATTTTTTTTTTATTTAAGTATTCATTGCAATACGACTTCAATTTTAAGATATCAAAGTTCTTCTATTAGCTTCTTTCTCATACACATAAGTAATGAAATAAGTGCAATTGTTTCTTTTAAATTGAAGAACCAGTCTGAATGAGTCTTAATAAATATCGCCAGTATTATTTTTTAAAGAATTATTCAATAGTTAATTAAGTTTTGACGTCAAGAATCATCAGTTAAATAGTAACAAATTAAAATCGATTGCGAATACAGAAAGTCGAATTGTAATCACATAAAAAAAAACATATTTCCAACCCCCTGTTTTTTTTTGTCACTCTCCGTTCATAAGGGCGTTATTTTCGGCAACGCACGTCTAGATCTAATTGGTTTAGTTTAGTCGACTAAAAGTTGGAACGAACAAGACAAAAAACAATCTGAAGGGATAACAAAAAGGATATAACAATGCACGATCTTTCCTCCGCCCTTTGGCATAAAAAAAAATCGCTAACAGCACCCTAAAGTTTAGGGTCTAAGTCATTAGCGCTCAACAAAAAAAAAGTATGAATAACAACGATCATGTCTTCAAGTTGTTCAGTGCAATTACTTGTATGTTTTCTTTTGAAACTTATTATTATAGTTTATCTGTTTAAATAATACATGTTGCTCTTAAGTACGGTTTTAGTATCCCAAGTTTCGGGGACGAGATGGGTAACGGGAATCACTGAAAAAATGAAAATTTATAGATAAATTGAATGATGAGTATTTGGTGGATATTTACCCGGGGAATCCCCTGTGTTCGTGGCTGTTGCTTAATGGGTTCATGCCTTTGTTGACGTGACCGCCGTTACCCCAGTCGTTCTGATGCTGATGCTGGTTCTGCTGCTGTTGCTGTTGCTGCATCGGCGGTGGAGGAACGAACTTTTTCAATGGCGGTTGGCTATCGAAGCGAGGCAACCTTCTTGGATTTTCAAAATCCTCCACAGACTGCGGACTGAGATCCACGTTTATTCTCCCAACAATTACATCAACAAGTATATTTGACAATAACGACAGAAATGAAACGCACACACACTTGATGAACAATTTAATACGAATCAAAGACATACACGATGTAGCAGTATGGGAAGTATCATTAATAGTAGGGCCTCCTATAGCTGGAGAGGAGAGCAACATAAACCAAATGGATGATACCAAACATTAATGGGGTCCTTACCCTGCGTTCCTGTAAGCCCTCGCTATCAGCCGTTCCTTCAGTTTCTCCACGGTAACACGCAACCTGTAGGTCCATATTAGAGCAATTACTATCATTATCAGCAAGACGAAACATATGGCTCCGAGGACGCCTGCTACGATGTACAGCTCATCCTGGATCTGACCGATAGTCTGTCGCAACAAACAACGAAATACACATTACTCATCCGATGAAAAATAGGGCTTTATAGATCGCAATAATAATTGCAAGATAATAAAAATGCGGCTTTCATTTAAGCCGTCCTCATCGTAGTTTTATCGGAAAGATTATGAGCAGATTGTCGGAGCTTCATAGAACATTAAACACGCGTTCACTCGTTTCGTCACAACCACATATTTTTATAATTATTCACCGATAAACTAAGATTTCAACTAAAAATAACAATTCTCAGTATAAATTGCAAAATACAAATCCAAAAATTATAGATCTGTAACAATTTTCAAAGCATATTTACTCAACTAAGTATGATAAGTTACCTCAATTCTAATATATTTTACGGATACATAGGTGATGAGGAGTTTTGAATTCCAATATTATATATAAATATAAACATTTAACCCATTTTAGGGTAATTTACCCCGGTTCGTCGATTCCTCGTCTATATTAATTTATTTATCTATATTCGAGACATTATTTTTTTTCTACCTATCGCGATTTACATATATAAGTGTACATATTTACTTAGAAATATTTAAAATATGAGATAGAAACACGTTTTTTGATGCTATCAAAAGCATCTTAAAGTATCTTCAACATATACAATATTTCCTTCACTTACATACTAAATAAAATGTAAATATTACCAGCTTTAACATTCTAATAAAAAAAAGCATCTTCATTTGTGTGAAGAACTTAATTAAATACATATATACAAGCAATTTTTATAATTAAAATCTACACTAATTTTGTCTATAAAGTAAATAGATTAAATTACCAAAAACGTTCATAAAATTAAATAACTATAGTTTACTTTATATTTATGTTTTTGTTTCCAAATCAAATCATAAAACAAAGGTATTTTGCAATGAATGTGACAATGATAGTTTTTTTTGTAAATTTAAATCATGACGAGTTTTCTATCTTATCATAATTGACAATGAGAAAAATAAAATACTTTTGCAAATCTCCCGCTTTAGATTTCAAATGCTTTCCTAGGTAAATTGAAAAAAAACAAAGGTATTGATAGATCTCTAATATTAAATTGTGCAAACACGATATCAACTGATTACTTGGAAATTGGATGACTTAATATTTAATTACTTCTAAGTTAGTTGATGATATTGGTTACAATACAAATCCTCTAATTATCTAATTGTATTATGCATAATAATGAGTTAAACATGTTATTCGATTTGTTTACGTGTTCCTGCTGCGGGACAAATGGTATTTGTGGATCTGAAATGGGAACGCCTTCGGTGCGTTTCCTCCTATAGAACATCACCGGGCCCATCGTGAAAGCGAATTCGAATACCAAAAAAACACCATGACTGCGTTTCTCCGACAATTTCGACGTCAACTTTGACATTGACGATCAAGTGGATCGAAGTAGTTTTTGACTTACCGACATAGTTAATCCCAAAGTAATGTACGAAATAAAACAACAACTATGAAAATGTAAAGTAAAAGAGTTTTTTTTTGCAAACGACTGTTACGACCGCTCTCGCACTCGAAAACTAAATGAATCTTATCAGACTATTTCCCCCCTATACAATGTTAATCTCGTCTGATTACTGGTACATCGATATTACTGATAGGTGAGATTAAAAGAAAATTAGGAAATTTTATACTATGATAGTGGTGTATTTGTATTGTTTTTGCACGTTGGAGAATTTCATGAGGCCACTGACGAAATATGGTATAGCTAAGGTGATGATGATGTAGAGGGTATAAGGAAGTGGCTTGGTGCTTCCGAACGGGGGTACCCAATATCCTCTGCGATTTGCGTCTCTTGTATGGTGGGTTGCCAGCGCTGTGAAGAAGATGAAGACGGCTTTCTCGAAGACAGGAAGGTTGAAATATTTGCTTATACAGAGACCCACTATGGTGGATACTATTGGAATGGTGCTGCAGTGAAAGATAGGTCTATTCTCTAAATTGGTAGCAGCCTGCAAAAAAAAATGGTTATTAAGTTTGTATAGGCAACTTTCTCATACGAAGTCAAACTCACAGATAAACTTAGTGATCCGGCAGCTAGAAAGTGGTCGATGTCCACGACGGATGAAGCGAATGTGCACATGAGAACCTCGCACAGGGTGCTTGTGCTGCTTCTGTTTTTGTATTGGGAGCAAACGGTGTACCAAGAGAGCGCACCGATAATTGCGTGGGTTATATTGTCGAAAAATGCTTTGATCATCTGCAACCTAGAACGCGATACCAAGTAGTCACCTGCAACGGCTGTGAATACGATGAACAGCATCAAGTACCATTGAGACCATGGTAAATTGATGAACATGACCGAAGAGCACGTAACTTAACCAACTAAAACACAACAAACTAGTAAATACAGGCAGATACCATCGCCAGCTTTGACGTTCTTTAATATAACCCAGGCAACCAAATTAGCTATATACATTAATCATTCCAATAAGATAAAATTGAATTCTATATAGATGTGATTTGCAATTCTTAATGCTGATACATACCAAACCAGAAAGAAGGTTTTAACATTCAAATTCCTATATAATTTGTATGGCTACTAACTCAATCTTCCTAATTTTAATGAAACCATTCTATTTTGATAAATTTCTTAAATTTGCTGAAATAAGAAGAAATTCTTCTTTAATTGCACAAAAACTTAATTTTACTGTAATAGAAGTTTTGCAAGTATTAAAGTTACTTCTTTTTCTCTCCACACTTCACTTCATTTCAATTGGCTTACACATCTTGTACAATTTCGCCAGCCACTGTTTTTATTAATTGAAGATTTATCTAAACTGGCCTAAGTTACTGTGGTCAGGGGAAAAAACATGTGAGATGTCTACACTAAATAATAACTTTCGAATCGGGGTCTCCGCGATTCAGTACAAAGGTGTTAGGAGAGACCTCGGATGGATAATGTAGATTGATATTTGTGTTATGTAAGGTACAGTTATTAATTTATTAAATGTAAGTATTGTATCGTAAGTATTGGTTATATCTTGAATAATATGCAAAAATACATCGTAATGAGGTTGTGTAGCTTTGTTTTGGTGTAAGGTTCCATCGGCAGTACTATAGGAGGCGCCACTCGATTTCCAGATTTGCGAGGGCACGCCACCACACAAACACACAACGTCTTTGGTCCCCTGATTTAGGCTACATAAATACTGTCGAGACATCTTGTGATTCAGGTCGAGGATAGAAATTTTCTCCCTCAAACTACTGGTTTTGCAGAGGTTTCGACCTGATACCCACCATTTTGCTTAATAGTTTAGATAATAAATAATCCTACCGTCAAATGTGAAGGAGTTTCCAGACGAAAGTTTATTATTGGAAGAAGAAGAACACACGTTATTTTCTCTAATATTTTAGACGAAAATATCAAGAAAAATATTAAAGCAACAATCATATTACTTATTTTATACAGATTATTTAGATTAAAATAAAACATTAATATTTTATATACTACAAAAGCGACCTCTACCAAATATTTATCAAAATAAAGAACATTTACAATAAGTCTAGGTCAATATTTATCTCAATAAAAGGAGATATTTATTGTAGAAAAAGCGATAAAATATTTTTAAAACTGGAAATTATGTATTTTTCTTAACGTGGATCACAACTAAAATAATTTTATATCGAAAATAAAATATTTTAGATACCTAAAACGAAAGTTTTAGCATATTTTTACAACTCATTCTTTAGAAATCGAATATTTTAAATAAGTAAACACAGCAGATTGTTAACAAATTTAATATATTATATTTTAAAACTCTGCAGATTATTTTCACTGCTTCTCTTCACTAATCAATTAATTGAGCTACCAATTAAAGCTCTAAATTGAAACACTAAAGTTATTTGGTTATTTCATTTATAAAAGTAACTTCAAAATATTGTTCACTGTAAAAGTTATTTTTAATTGTTAATTCCTATTCATATAACTAAGAAAAGCTTGTTTTTATGAAAGCTTAAACAATTTCAATGAGTTGTTTTTTTTTAAATTTTCTAATTATTCGTAGCTTTCGTATTTTATATTTATGTATTTGTTTCCAAATCAATGTAAATTTAAATCATGGCCACTTTTCTATCTTATCATAATTGACAATGAGAAAAATTAGAAAAAAAAATAAATAGAAAAACAATTTCAATGAGTAGTTCTTTTTTAATTTTCTAATTATTCGTAGCTTTCGTATCTTTTTATACATTTCCTTCGATATTTTGCTCAATTTAGAAAAATATGTTCAATGTATTTATATTTTGCACATATTTTTTTTATTAATGATATAAAATAAGATTTTATATGAATTTCTATAGATTATAATAAATATACAATAAACTACAGAAGTCTTAAGGTATGTGTATAAGAGATTTTTTACTTTCAGATACATAATTTATATTATAAAAACATACATAATAGTTAAAATTAATGCAATAGAAATATTTTTGTGATAATAAACTATCACTATAATATTATTATTTACATTAAATAAATAAAAATAATAATGTTTATTGCATCAGTTTTTGCAAACAAACTAAATATATATTGACCATATGTCTTTCTGTCTTATTTACATTATTTTGTACCATTTATAAGTTACTGTGATGTCAATATCTTTGAATTCTAAAAAACTTAATAACTATTTTGTAATAAAAAAATATTATTATTTAGTAATTTCAAACTAAAAGACATGTACATTGTACATAATAGATTAAATAAGAATTACAAGTTTTCAATAGGCAACCCAAATATCACATAACCTTGAAGCTTCGGATACTCGAATCGTTTGACGATCTTGCACTCGTGCATCATCGAAGCGTTCGTTCAAGATGGCCGTATATTATGCGACGACCTCTAGCGTATATTTGTATCAATGACAATTCTCATAAGCTGGCGTTTCAGAACTTTTAGTAGAATTTTCTTTTCTAAGTATCTTATAATATTTTTCAATATAAATTATGAAGAAAATGTGTAAATTTTAATAATATTATGTAATAAATGTTTTCCTTTAATTTATTTCATTATACTTATAATAGTTGTCTTATTAGAATTAGTAATGTAATTAATTTACTAATTTTTATTATCCTTAGAAATGTAATTTTATTGTTTTCTAAACAAATATGATATATTTGTGAGTTAAATAAAAATAAATCGTTAAGTTATACGCTTATTGTAACCTTATACGTCTTCACAGTTTGGGATTATGGCGTGTTAAACAAGTAAACAGTTGAAAATTTACTACAAGCATCCCAAATGTGACATAACCACGAATGCTACGAAGCTTCGGATACCCGAATCGTTTGATGATCCTTCACTCGTGCATCATCGAATCGTACAATCAAGATGGCCGTATATTATGCGACGACCTCTAGCGTATATTCGTATCAATGACAATTCTCATAAGATGGCGTTTCAGAATAAATCGAAAACTTATATATATAAAATACAACATTAAAGACACAAAAGATCAAATTAATTGTTGTAATTAAACAAACAGTATACACCATATAGAGATTATTTAGATTTAAATAAAGTACATATATTTTCTGTAGTGTAGAAGCGACCTCTAGCGAATATTTATTAAAATCAAAATATTTGTTTTTAAGTTGTCAAAGTCAATACATTAGTTGTGTATATAAAAATGGGTTATTTGCTGTTTTATCTCACGGATAAGCGATAAAATAATTTTAAAAACTGAATAATATCAATTTCTTAACGTCGATCAAAACTAAAATAATTTTATTTTGGATTCTTTGAAAATAAAATATTTTAGAGGCTACAAACGAATGTTAAAACATAATTTTACGACGAATCGAATACTTTAACTACCTGAATGCTTCAACAAGCAATTTCTTAACGAATTTAACATTTTTAGATTTCGAAGCTCATTTTCTGAGCAGTTTCTTCACTGATCGAATAATTGGAGCTACCAAAAAAACCAGAAAGCTCTAAATTATGGTGCTAACGTTTTGTTTAAGTT